GCGGTGGCGGGGCCACCAACCCCAAAGTAAAGGAGAGGGTCTCACCAGCAAGGTGTCTCTGCCCCGCAGGGCGCTGGAGCAATTCCTACAAGCTCCCGTACAGCTGGATCGGGACAGGGCATGTTGTCTACAATGGCTCCTTCTACTACAACCGGGCCTTCACACGCAACATCATCAAATACGACCTGAAGCAGCGATACGTGGCTGCCTGGGCCATGCTGCATGACGTGGCCTACGAAGAGTCCACCCCATGGCGGTGGCGGGGCCACTCGGATGTGGACTTCGCCGTGGATGAGAACGGCCTTTGGGTCATCTACCCGGCCATCAGCTATGAAGGCTTCAACCAGGAGGTGATCGTGCTGAGCAAGCTGAACGCGGCCGACCTCAGCACCCAGAAGGAGACCACATGGCGGACGGGGCTGCGGAAGAACTTCTACGGGAACTGCTTTGTCATCTGTGGGGTCCTGTATGCAGTTGACAGCTACAACAAGAGGAATGCCAACATCTCCTACGCCTTTGACACGCACACCAACACACAGATCATCCCCCGGCTGCTCTTTGAGAACGAGTACGCCTACACCACGCAGATAGACTATAACCCCAAGGACCGCCTGCTCTACGCCTGGGACAATGGGCACCAAGTTACCTACCATGTCATCTTTGCCTACTGAGACCCCCCCCGCTGCCGTGGGGCACTGCGAGCCAGGGGCCACCAGCACCTTTTATTATTATTTTTATTGTTGTTATTGTTATTTTGTACAAATCAAAGAGTAAATGATGGGTTTTGTTTCAAGCTGTTTTTTTTTTTTTTTTTTTTTTTTTTTTTTTATTTGGTGGATTGTAGATCGATCCCCAGGCCAGAACCACCCCCTTCGTCTTTGCTGTAACCTTGCTCCTGCTTTTCCTTCCCATGGGGTCCTCCTTTGGGAGGGGAGGCCCGGCTCTCCTGCCCACGGAGGAGGAGGTGGCCCAGACGCGGTCCTCCTGATGAAGTTTTTAGCTAAAGATGACCAGCAAGAGCCCCAGAACCCGGCACAAAGCTGGCCTTCCTGCTGCAGGCTCCACGTCCCAGTGGGACGCTGCTGTCTGCCTGTCCTGGTCGAGGGGGTGTGGGTCCTGTGGGAACCTCCCATCTCTCAGGACCATGTCTCCAGCCGATGGCCAGCAGGCCCTTCGGAGATCCTGCTGTACAACGGGGCTGCAATCCAGCTGGGCAGCCCCCGGTGCTGGCACTTACGCCGAGGACTGTCCCCTCCAGCTGGGGCTCCGCCCTTTGCAACCTGCTCTGGGGGTCCGGGTGCACCCCTGACTTGTGTCTGGACTGAGCTGGTGGCAGGAGGGGGACACTGTAAATACTTGTAGATGGCTTTTGTTTGTTTATTTTGTAATCCGAAATAGTCACCTTTGGCATTTGCTGGCTGAAGGCTCAGCTCTGCCGGGCGCTGGGCTGCCGGGGCAGGGAGCTGTGGGGCCGGGGGAGCCCACGGGGCCGGGGGAGCCCCCGCTCCCCATCCCGTTGCCGCTCTGTCTCCTGCAGGGCCTCTCCTCCCCTGCCCTCCCCCCTGACTGGCAGGGGCGCCCCCCCGCCCCCCCCCCCCCTGCCGCTCTGTCTCCTGCAGGGTCTCTGCTCCTCTGCCCTCCCGTGGCCACGCTTGCCCTGGTGCCATCTGTTGGCCATCGGGAGCCCCTCGCAGAGGCACAGCCCCTGCCCTTGCAGCCCGGCAGCATCTTGTATTTACCTGCTGTTAATAATAAAAGACAAAGTACCTTTGCAGCTGTTTGGGGCTTTCTTTGGGTGCATGGAAATGCACAGGGGGTGGTGGGGTTTGGTTTTTTTTGGGTGGGTTTTGGTTGGCTTGGGGAGTGCCAGTTTACACACCAAGTGGCAGAAAGGCAGGGCCAGAGGGACCCGTGGCAGGGCTGTAGGCTGCTTGGTACTGGCACCAGGGCAGGACAGCGTGGCTGTGCCCAGCCCTGAGAAGAGCTTGGCTCTTGGAAGAGTTGCCTATGGCTCAGCAGGGGCTGTGATGAAGCCCCTCACGGCCTCCTCTTCTCCAGGCTCTGGGGGTTGGGGCGCCAGCTCATGGGGGGGCTGGTGCAGGGTCCCCCCCTCCCCAAGAGCAGGAGCGGGGGGGTCTGGGTGCATGTGCCTTGGGCAGTGCCACCGCTGTGCCAAGCAGCGCTGCACTGCAGCCCAAGAGATGGCAGAGACTGCCACTGGCCTCCTAGTCATTTGCTTAAGTAAAGTGGTATTAACAAGCGAAATAGTAATTATTATAAATAAAAGAACCATTTTTATTGCCTTCAGTGCTAGGGACAACAGTTAGCAGAACTGCACAGGACGGGAGGTCCTCTCCACCACCGGAGCCCACGGGTGCTGGCTGAGGACGCGGAGCTGCGGCAGCCCCGGCAGCTGCCCTCTCCAACGTGCCAGGCTGTGCCAAGCTCAGCCACCACCAAGTCCCCTCCCCAGCAGCAAATGCCCCCCGCAGCGCAGCCGGCTTCCCCCGCCGGGGCTGCAGGGGAGCTGCGTGCCTCTGGCTGAGGCACCGCCGTGGTTTTTATTTTTGACTATTGTGTGAGCTGGCCCACAGTCAGGTGGGGCCGGGGCCAGGAAAACAGAACTGGTGCAAGGAGTGCAGCCAAACCCCTCGCCGAGCCCGGCTGCTTCCCAGCAGCGCGCGCGCCGAGGGGACGGGGGGCCTGAGCAGCTCGCGCTGACTACGTGGCAAAGGGCAAAGCTTTTCCATAGTGTTGGCAAGGCACATACTTTACAGGGGTGTATTGCTCCTCACCCGCCTCCTCGCTTCCCCCGAGCTGTTTGTCTTGCTGCAGGATCAAACTTTATTTCCTAACAGCCACACACACACACAAATAATAATAATAACAACAACAATAATAACAATAAAAACCCCACGTCAGTCAGTCAGTCAGTGGTTCAGACAATGAAGGAAAGGCAGTTGGCTGGCAAACTGAAGCCCATCATCTTCTGTGCTAACTGCAAAGGGGGAAAAAAAAATAACATGCTGAAGTCATTACGAAAGACTGATGCTCTGCTGGGGTCTCATCCCAGGTGAGCACCGCAGTGCACTTTGCGCTGGAGCCCCTTGGCCCGGCTCCGGCCCAGGGCTTGGCTGACAAACTTGGGACCAGAGCTCTGCAGCGGGCTCTGAAAGGGCAGCAGTCGACCGCAGCGAACACCATGTCTGGTAGCTCAGTGCTCGGGGGCAAACGGCAGGCTCCCCTGCGCCCCTGCTGCGTGACGGGTGGCTGTCAGTGCTGGCAAGGCAGAGAGGGGATGGCTGTGGGTGGGAGCGTGTATGTGTGCGCATCGCTGTGCGTGTCTGTGTTTCGGGAGGAAGGTGCTGTGGCTGTGTCTCGCTGAACTGAAGGAGCTCTTCTGCCCCAGCAGGGCCAGTGCTACTCTGTAGACTGTTAGCTGTGAAGAGCACTAAATATCACAAAAAGTAAAAAAAAAAAAAACAAAACCCAAACAAACCACCAACCAAAAAACAGGAGGGGAGGGGGAAACAAAACAAAACAAAAAAAAAAAAAAGGAAAGGAAAAAAAGAAAAAAAGAAAACAACCCCAGCCGTACAATCTTTACAAATGCATTTGCTGCACTAAATCACCACCCTTGGGCCAAGCCCCAGCCTTTTGCCATGGGGCCACGTGGGCTGGGGAAGACAGCAGCAGTGTGTGGGCAAGTTCACACAGGTGAGGGGGGTGTGTGTGTGCGCACACTGCCTGGGAGGGAAGCCCAGGCCTTGTACCACCCAGGTGCCCTGCTCGCTGGGTCCAACCTAGGGACTCCCCCCAGCAGGGTGACTCCTGGGAGCGGGGACACGCTTTGTGGCAGTGGGGGTCGTTCTGCTTGTAGTGCTTTGGCTGTAAGTGCGGGTTCCCACCACCCTGCTGGGTGGCTGGGGCTGGGCTGCCCACAGCACTGCTGCAACCCTGGGCAGCAGCCCACCGCTTCCCGGCAAGGAGGCTGCATGGGCAGGGATTTGGGGCATGTGGGGTGACAAGGAGCAGGACTGTCCGGCCACTCTGGCAGAGGAGGGATGCTCCTGGGGTGCAGGGCCAGGGTTGGGGTGGCAGGCCCGGTATGGGGTGCAGGGCTGTGCCTGTCCCTGGTGAGGGGCCAGCTGAGCCGTATATCCCTGGGCAGGATGCAGCCGTTGGGTAGGGTCAGGCACAGGAATGGGCTAAACGAGGTCTGCCCTTGCTGTGCCGATGTGCCGGGAGCCCCGGGGACCTGCCTGCGACAGGGCTCGGTCCGGCAGCAGGACCTGCTGCATGCCGGGTGCATGGGCCGTGCAGCTACGCCGCAGGAGCTACTGCAGGGATTTGACAATAGCCCTCAGGGCATGGGGCGTCTCCGGGACGGAGGGAGACGCGCTGTAGAAGGTGTTGCTGTGATTTCTGCGCTGCTCTCGAAGGTACGGAGGGACCGATGAACTTTTGATGTGGAGGATCCTGGTGTCCATCACTTCACAATCGATCTGCATCATCACCTCATAGTCCTGCCCATTGATCACATTCTCTGCAAAGTAAGAAAAAAAAAAAAAGTCAGAGTTAGCCCTGCAAGCTTGTGACCTCATGGCACCAAAAGCAGAGCTTGCTGGACCTTTGTTTCTGGAGCAGGAGCTGGAGGGGGATGGGGGGCAACCCTTCCTTTTTGCAGCTCCACAGATGGAGCTCCATCTCACACAGCCTGCTTGTGACACCTCAGAGAGCCCAGGACATGCTTAGCATGTGCAGTCACACCTAGAAATTAATGTAAGTCTTTTCTTTTCCACTTCTTCATCTGCACATAATTAGTGATGGAGTCTGCCTTGTATAACATTTATTACTGAACTGGTGTTCTTAAGCCACTAAAGCGTAGGGGTGATTGAAGATAGGGCTTATTTAAGAAAGCTGAATGGTTCACTTCCTTTTTATTGGTTTAAGAATACTGTAACCCTCTTGACACTGAGTATCCAGAGGAATTTCTTCACCGGATTATTAATAAAAAAAGTCAAAATGCTATCTCTTGAAAGAATGAACTGCACCTCATTACCATGCTGACCTGGCTGTTGTACTTGTATGATGTTGTGGTGTGACACTGGTCAAGGCCATTACCCTTGAGAGGCCTCTGGACGTGGGGAGACCCAGGCCAGCACATGGGACCCCAGTGCAAGGGCATGCCGAGCTGCATCACCCCAGCGTGGCCCCAGGCCGGGCACGTCTGCTGCCGCAGAAGCTCCTGGGCTTGCAGGCAAAGGCTGTGCACATGGCCAGCATCTGCTGCCTGGATTTAAAGGTGGGAGACTGTTCCCTGCATAGACAGTGTGTCCAGGAATGCGAGAGCTGAGATCGGATTTCCAGGCACGACCAATCCTTGCCTTTCTGAGTCAGAAACGCTGACTGCCATCGGCAGGGTTTTCTTTCTGTGCTAAGGAGGATGGAAGATCACCTAATGGAAAGCGTATGGATTGGAGGAATGCAATATACATTACTAATTTTTACTGTTTTCCTGGATTAACTCTGACTCTGGATGACAGCTGACAACTGCGGCCGGACCCTCTTGTACCCCACGCCACCTGTAGAAGCCATTAGATCAAGTATGTCTGGTATAGCAATGAAAAGCAGCGGCGAACTCATGCTAAGGGGGCTGAGAGCCTGCAAGGGAAATCAAAGATCCCACCTGCAGAAATGAAATGGAAAAAGCTCCCTATGTGCCACCGAGTGACCAAGGCCAGGAGCAGCTGTGCGTGTCTCTGATCCAAACACCCTGACAAGTGCCTTGTCCCTCCTGGCCGCGGTGCTGCTGATAAAACCCTGCCATAGCTTCAGGTGCGGTGTCCCCAGCTGGGACCTTTTTTGAGGTCATTCCTCCAGGTCAGCCCTTCTCTCATCCTTTGGATGTGCTCCTGGTTCTCACCCAACAGGCTCAGGACCGGATGGCGGGGAGGGCTGGGCTGGTGGTGCTGCTCAGGACAGGGGCTGCCCATGGCAGCTGGGGGCACAAGGAGAAGCTGGGGGGGGGTGGTAAAAGCCTGGCCTTGGGGCTGGAGAGAGCAAACAGGAACAGATCAGCTCCCTGTGACGCAGTAAGCTGAAAACACAGCTTCTCAGCTCTCACGTTGCAGATGACAGCTTGACAGGACCCCAGCTATGTGAGAAAACGTGCTCCAAAGCCACAAATGGATGAGGTGGGATTGGACGGTGGCCAGGGCTGGGAAAACCTCTCGGTCAGGCAGTAAGACCTTCCCGCATCTGCCCGCAGCGGCCAGCCCAGCAGGCTATCATTAGGTTCCCTGGCACTGCGCAACGTGGAGGAGAACAGCGATCCCAGAGAGCAGCCCGTGCGAGGGAGGGAGCTGCGCTGCGTGGGTGGCGGCAGGGAGCATGGGAACCAGATCAGCCCATCTCGGCCAGCTGGGCTCCCGCTTCTCCCAGCGCTGACATAGGCTCCCCCCGTGACTAGATGGACCACGATTAAGCAAGCCATAGCTCTGCCACCCTGTGCAAGAGCTGCTGTGTCTTCTGGGGCTCCCACAGCTGAGATAGCTGGGAGGAATCATGCTCACAACGAGCATCTCTGGCCTGCAGGCATGGAGGGGGCTCACACACCCAACGCAGACATTTGCAAAGTGCCTGAATCCAGCCCTGTGCATGTGAACTAGCACAGGAGTGACACTTGGGTTCAAACAGAGGTTTTCTGATTCTTTCCCTTTTGGGTTGAAGGCACTGTCAGTGAAGAACTGCTGCAGGAAGCCTCTGCAAAG